GTAGGGCTTTACAGATTTCGGGCTCAGTCGTTCCCGGTGTGGGTTCTTGGGGGCTGCAGAAGGGCGGCGCAGTTTAGGCTCTCATTTGTGTGGGGTTTAGGGTCTAGGGTTTGGGGGGGTTTAGAGCCCATGCCACATTTCAAGGGGCGGCCGGTACCTGCTTGATCTGGCTCAAACGGGTCGAAAGAGGAGACAAGCCCCGTGCTTGACAAAAAATCGAGCTATGCCATGTACCAAACCCTGAGCAAGAGAACGAAGCCCCTATGAACCCTACACAAGAGGACGAAACCCTATATACTATAAACCCTGAACAAAGAGAACGAAACCCTATAAACCCTGACACATGTCTGGACTGGCGCCTCACAACATCCCATTTCCCCTAAACTTTGGTACGAGACCCAATCAGAACTCGACGCTGAGAAAGAAGATACCACAGGTAGGTTTGCGTTGGATGCGGTTTCACACAGGCTTCTAAACCCTAAACCCTATAAACCCTAAACCCTATCAACCCCAAACCCTATGAACCCTAAACCCTAAACCCTATAAACCCTAAAACCTAAACCCCAAAACTCAAAACCCCAAACCTCTGGCAGAGATCCCCCGAAAGTTGGATTGTTTGACGTCAGGTCTCTAAGCCCGAAACCAAAAAATCCTACGAACGCCCAAGCTCTCCACCTGGGTTCTTTCTAAGGGATTTAACTTAAGTTACCATAGCAGGGATCTATAGAAAATAGTAGGGTTTCCTGATTTAAGTTAACATAATAGGGATCTATAGTACATAGTAGGGTTTCCTTATTATGGTAACTTACATGAAATCCCTTGAACAAGAACTCAGCCACCCTGAACCCTAAGGCCGGAGACTATGGGCTGTCGCCACCTTTGTGGTCTCCTTGCCCTCTGGGAACACCATCAGCCTCAGCTCCTTGCGCAGGTTTAGGGTTTAGGGTTTAGGATTTAGGGTTTAGGGTGCGCAGGCCGCACGCCGATTGGGGCGGAACCATACATCTATTTCCCTAAAACCTCTCATTAAAGTGCTTATAACATAACCCTAAACCCTGAAATATAACTGTACCGGCTAAGTCCCATGTTCCTCCAAGTGTCGGGTTCCGTTTTCAGGATGTTTCAGTTTCGCAAGCTACAGCTAGTTATCAGGACCGTATACTGTCAGTCTAGGGTAAGGTTTAGGGTTTTGGGGCTTTTTGGGTTTAGCGTTTTGGGGTTTATGAGCTTAGGGTGTAGGATTTAAGAATGAGGGTTTAGGGTCTCGGAGTAGGGTATGCTTCCTGTTAAGTTGGATCGAGAGATTTTGGCGAGTCTTCCTCTGGAGTACGAGCTTGGGAGCTGCATACTGCAGGTTACGATTACCTAGTGCTTTAGCGAGTCCTCCCAGACCCTGAAAGACAATAATAGCAAGAATACCCTAACGCATCAACCCGCAATTGCAACCCAGTGCACTCAAACCCGAATTTCTATGAACCCTGAAGAAACATGCTTCATGGTGAACAATCTCTCTCTTCTTCAAGAACCAAGCCCAAAAAAGTTCAAACTTTTTAGGATAGTCCTTATTTATTTGGCCAAAAAGTTTTCTCGTCCTCCTATTGGCTATCTAAGAACTAGAGTCAGCCTGCAACTTGGGCTCCGATCTTGCCCACATCGTGCATGGCGAAAAAAGGGGGGTTCTTGCAGTTGTTCTGGGTTCTTAAACCAGGAATCCTACTATATAAATATATCGGGTCTATAAGAGAGCCCCTTGTTTTCGGAAAACCTTGTATAAACCCTACACACTAAACCCGAAACCCTAGACCCTAAACCCTAAACCCCCAAACCCCTAAACTATGGATCTGAAATATTCAAGACCACAGGCGACATTGGAAACTCTGGAGCCCAGACCAGACTCTTGAACCCCTTGTCCTAGATTCCGAGATTCCTGGACTTCAGGGCAGTTTAGGGTTGAGGTTTTTTTTTTAGGGTTGAGGGTTTAGGGTTTAGAGTTTAGACCCTTGAACATCTGCGCCCCAAAACCAAAAGCAGAAAAACCCTAAACCGGTCACCAAGCCCTCCGAACCTCACCTCCGCATGTGTTTGCGTCAACCCGGCACACGCACATCTTTGTTTATGAAACTTGCCGAATGTAGTGTCTTCGATCTGCAAAATGCAAACCGAATTTTGGAGTTAAAGCTTTGTTGCACAGAGTGGCCTCGTTTCAGGCCTCCAAGTGAACGACTGCAGCTTTCATGCGCTGCAGAGGCATCTTAATTCAAAGTGGGGCGAAATCCCTTGGTCCCACTTGGCAGACTCCTTTTCGCACCATCAATATAGATGTCAAGAATAAGAAATAATAGTATCCCCTTATTGTAAAAGAAGGCGCCAACCTCAAAGCCCGACCCTGATATCATTGATGTCAGTAAGATTCTGTCTCTTGCAAGGGGTATGATCTTCACCATGGCCTCCTGACTGAGACTTGAATAAAAACCAAAACCCACCTCCCCTTTTCACTCAACCCTTGTGAGGCTGCAGGGGGGTCGCACTGTACTTACGACTGTGCGAATCTCCACAACCCTAGGCCCTAAGCCCATGAACCGAAAACCCTCAGACCATAAGCCCCAAACCCCAAACCCTAAACACCACCCTAAAACAACGCTAAACACGCACCCCCAAAAACCCGAAAATCCCTTAAAACCCCACAAACCCTCAAAAACCTAAACAAAACCTTAAAAAAAAAAAAACTAAAAACCCTTAAAAAAACAAAACAAAAAAAACTAAACACGAAGCCCCGCCCCGGACCGTCGGGGCTGGCCCAGTGCAAAGGCCTAGGCTGCTGGGCTCGGGTTCTGTGCCGCCAGGACGAGGCCAGTGCTTTGAGCAATGGTGCCGGTCCGGTCCTTGCTTTATGGGGCTTAGGGTTTAGGGCATAAGGGTTTAGGGTATAAGGGTTTAGGGTATAAGGATTTAGGGTATAAGGGCTTAGGGTTTAAGGGTTTAGGGCTTAAGGGTTTAAGGGTTGGGTTTAGGGCTTAAGGGTTTAAGGGTTTAGGGTTTAAGGGTTTAAGGGTTGGGTTGAGGGTTTAAGGGTTTAGGGTTTAAGGGTTTAGGCATAAGTTATCATAATAGGGATGTGTGCCCAGAATACCGGGAGGATCTAAAAAGTGGATCCCCTATTTTGGGACCCTAACTACTGAAGGGTAGTTTATAGGAACCCCCTTAGTAAGGGATACACTCTTTGGATCCTTCCGGGGGCCTGGGTAAGGGTTCCATATGAGAGCTATGCTCATGGGGCTTAGGGTTTAGGGTTTGAGGTTAAAGGTTTAGTTTTGCTGGGCTAGTGGTCTAGGGCTTTAGGGTTTAGGGCTTTGGATGTAGGGTTTGCCTTAGGCTTTAGGGTTTTGGGTTTAGGGCAATTTAGGGCTTAGGGGCTTAGGGCTTTGGGTTTAGCGTTTAGGATGTGACCAGACATGAATGGCCTCAAGCAACCCGGAAGGAACATGCGGGAGTCTTCCAATTCCCAAACCTACATAAGCTTAGGGTTTAGGGTTTAGGGTGAGGTCGACAAGGGAACACATATGCAGCGAGATCCTGTTTGTTCCGTCATAGCGTTACCCCAGGAAACCGTGTACGAGCCTTTTGGGGCTCAGCGACTCATAGAGCAACCCTAAACCCTAAACACCACATACTTTGCTTCCCATATGGTACTCCTGGCCCCTAAACGTATGAGACTTCAGCGCTTGGATCGCTGAAGCATGAACCCGAAGCCGGAAACACAAGAGCTTGAACCCCAAACTTTACAGCTTAGGCCCTAAACCTTGAGCCTTAAACCCTGAACCCTCAACGGTGGAGCACCCAAGGCTCAGGTGGCTGGTCCACCAGCTCATTTAAGAGGAGCTGGTAAGGTTCCGGACGCTCACCTCCCCAGTTGACATTCCTAAACTTGTATATTAGTATGACTATTACTAGTAATATTTCTAGCACTATTAATTCTAGTAATTTTCGTAGAAGCAGTAGTAGCAGTAGTAGTAGTAGTAGTAGTAGTAGTAATAGTAGTAGCAGTAATAGTAGTAGCAGCAGGAGAAGAAGAAGTAGCAGCAGCAGGAGTAGTAGTAGTAGTAGTAGTAGTAGTAGTAGTAGTAATGATAACAATACTATTATTGTTACAATTGTTCTTATTCTTGCTGATGTTAGTACCATTGCTAGTATCGCTACTTCTTTCTGTTTATCGTTATTACTGCTAACCATTATTGCTGCTAGTATATATATATATGCATATATACATTCACTATGGTTACTCTTAATATGGAATGTTCTTGTTTCCTAAATCCTGAGCTCTCTGAAACTTACTTCTCCAACCCCGTCCCCGCCCTCAACACAACCCTAAACTCTAAACCCTAAGCCGAAGAGTTCCTGGATGCTCATGGGACTCACTACACCCGAAAAGATCCCGGGATGGGGTAGCGAGGCTGCCCCTAGTGGTACGTGTTTTTCACCCCCCAAGGATCCTAAGCACCGATAAAGGTTCTTTTAAGGGTTCCTTTAAGGGCTACCCAAAGCAGAATAATAATTCCTGCTTTTGAAACTTTACTTCCTACTACTTGGGTGCTTAGGATCCTTCGGGAAATGGATCGGACTCCAGGGATTACTCTAATCGGAATGTAGTCATCAGTCCCAGCAGCTTCAACATCGACACACGATGTTTTGACCGTCATGTTCGTCGTCGTCTCTGTCGTCACAAATACTTCTTAAGTCTGTGACGTGTTGAAGTGAATATTCAGGGCTTTTTGATCAGATCAGCCAATGAATTCGAGCTATGCAGCCCCTAACTTCTGAGTATGTTGTACTCTAATATATTGTCATAGTCTGCAAGTTCTAGTATGGTATATTCTTACTGATATTCGATACAACAATCAACAGTAGCAGATGCAACGACAACAACAAGCAAGAACAAGCAGTGACAGTACAAACCATCATGCAAATCGAAGTAAGAAGAAAGACGCCCCTAAATCTCCAGCCTGCGCGCCAAGTCTTCCATGCTGTTTCCTGGGCCCGCGCTCGCAGGGATGGAGAAAGGGATCCTAAGGATCCATTTCTTATGGGTGTAGGGTTCAAGGACATTAGGATCTAGGGTATAGTAGTATAGGCACCCTGCTGAGGTATTTGGAAACGCGGGCCAAACCACGACAAAACAACCAAGTAGTACTATCCCTTCGTGCTGATTGTATATATAAGAACCACCCAATGCCAAACCCCTGTGCAAATTACTGAGGACGCATACCACAATGAAGGCTCGATAAGGTCGAACAAGTTTCCAAGATGTGGATCAACGTGTCCAGGGAGAGTTGGATGAGGCCGTTGACGAACCAATGACCAAGGATGACCAAGGCAACGACCACGGCGCTGTAGGACAGGACCAGTCCTTGTGGTTTGGGGTTAGTATCGGGCTCTAAGGCTTAAGGAAATCCTAAACCCTAATTAAACCAATGCTAAATCCCAAAGGGATTTTGGTTGAGGACTTCGGGCTAAGTTAACAAGCGAGAGAAACCTGAATTTCACATCTAGGCATGATGGTTTTATGACCCAGCAAAACTCAAAAAAAAACACACACACACACATCACTGATCACAGCTTCCCAAGACTCCGTAAGATATGCACGCAATGCCGGCCAGCCAAAGAGCAGTGAACCACCACTCCTGTTCTGGGTTCCATTAAGGAACCTTCTGACATTCACCCATATCCGGCACCTATAGCAAGTAATGGGAGTCTCCTTACTATGATAACTTACTACGGTAACTTAAATCAAGTTCCTTAATTATAGCAGCCCCGTGTTCGGGTGCTCAACAACGGAGGTCCCCGTTGTTGGCTTCAATGAGGTGCCTTGGAAGTAGAGATCTTATGGAGCCCCAGAGCTTAATTTGAGTTTGGGGTTTCTATGCTCTTAAACCCTAAACCATTGAAACCCTAAATCCTAACCCCAACCCCTGGACCCCTATACTCTAAGCCACAGGGCTTCGGTTTAGGCTTCAGGAGGCATCTTCCTAATCGGGATCCCTTCTACCTGACTCTAATCTGAAGGTTTCTTCAAACTTCAAGTTTACGGTTTAGGGTTTAGGGTGAAGAGGTTTAAGGTTTAGGGCGAATACGTTTAAGGTTTAGTGTGAATAGGTTTAAGGCTTAGTGTGTAAGGTTTACGGTTTAGGGTGTAAGTAAGGTTTAAGGTTTAGGGGGAAGGATGCCCTGACATATTGTTTAGGGGTTCTCACAAGAAGTAGTCTACTTTTCACCGCCCATACGTCATGGTGCCAGTCTTCGCGGTTTTCTGGAACTTTTTAAACCCTAAACCGAAGAAACTGTGCTTCCCAGTCCTAACCCATCAATCCTCAACCCCAAGAGCTGAGCCTTAGGGTTTAGGGTTTAGGGGTTTAGGGATCTGTCCGGGCGATGTTTCTTCACCAGGGAAAGCGGGACCCGGTAGACCATTCCCACGGCAACGGTCGCGAACAGAAACCCAAGTAGCTGCGGCACAACGATCCTCAGCCAGGGTGTAGAGCTTCATACGGTTGATGATATAAATCCTGCATGACCCATAAATTAGGAATATACCATAATTCCCATAGCTTAAAGTCCTTAAGGCAATGCAGGATTTATATCATCAACAGTAGTGGGGTCACAATAATTGTGTTCGTTGTTATGGTTTGCCAAGGGGGATCGATTAGTGTATATACATGTACAATGCAAGAAACCCTGAAGGATACTGCAGGTGCTTCTACACGTACCTACACACGTACCTACACACATACATACATACATACATACATACATGCATACATACATACATACATACATACATCCACCCACTCACCCACCCATCCATACATACAGACGGACATACATACATACATACATACATACATACATACATACGTACGTACGTACATACATACATACACATACACACATAAATGCATACATACATACATACATACATACATACATACATACCTACATACAAACGGACATACATACATACATACATACATACGTATATACATACGTACATACATACATACGTATATACATACATACATACATACATACATACAGACATACAGACATACAGACATACAGACAATACAGACATAGACATACAGACATACAGACGGACATACATACATAGATTTCGGCTTGCCTGGTTGATTGATTGCGTGCCCGCTTCGTTGTTTGGTTGCTTGCTTGCTTTGTTGCTTGCGTGTTTGTGGGAATGTCTTTACCCATAAATGCTCAAGTACACGCAGCCGCATTTACAACGAAACAACAATTTCACGAGTAGGTACATTGATACGAGGGCTGCTCCTGTCAGTGTCACGGTTGGCTGTTTCATTTGTTGCAGACAGTTTTCCATCCTCAGGGGCAGAAACAGAAGAAGGTCCTACATATGGGATATAAACCCTGAACCCTAAACCCTAAACCCTAAACAAGGTCCTACATATGGGATGCAAAAATACCCCACTCGCACAGGCCACAACGAAGACAAGTTTACCTGTGAGCTCCTTGTGCTTCGGTGATCGCTTGGGCCCGTAACCCTGAAGCCCTATGCCCTAACACTCTAACCCCTACACTATACAAATCCTAAACCCCAACTGCTAACCCGAAACCCTAATGTAGAGGTTCCTCATTATACGCAGAGTATAATAATATACCCCCCAAAACCCTATTCAAATTTTTAAGGCCCCTACAAAAGAAGACCCCAGACCTTCTGCGGCCAAGATTCATTGGCCCTTGAAACTGACCCCAAGCGATACTTGTGGAGGTTACAAACACATTTCCCAGGAGGCTCGCCCAGAAGTGGCACCACCAGAATACACCAGACCTGTGATTCGGCAGCTTCGGTCTCTCGCATCTCTTTCGTGCCTTCTGTTGCTGCTGCGACTTCGGGCGAGATAGGGTTGTGCAGATTGAGTTATGTCGGCTTGAGAACAAAACTCACATAGATATACGTATACAACAGATGGCACGCACAGATAAACCCAAACATATACACACAAGTTTGTACAAACACACATCTATATATACATGTATATACACACATACACAGACATACGTACATACTTACACATATACATACCCGGATATACATATACATATACATATGTATATATATATATATATAGAAATGTACATGCATGCATAAGAAACAAATTAAATATGTGGCATATACATGTGCAGATACAAATACTTATCCGTATACATATGTATGTGCAAGATATAAATGTGTATGCACAACCATCCACACATATACGTTGTAGATTTACATATCTTTGTATCTAAGCATGCGTACTCAGTAATACTCGTGTATGTATATAGTATACATGTGCACATATGTACATACATGTGTACATACGTGCACACGTGCATACATATGAGAACGCACACACACACACACGGACGTATGTCGTTGGATAGTGTTGCCTGTGTTTGTTTGTATATATATAAATATATTTATATATTTATGGAGAAAAATGCTGGACATATAGCTGCCTGTAATTATGTATGCACGTGTGTAACAATGTATGCTTACATGTCGGTGTCATATATATATATATGTGTGTGTGTACGAAAGTTTACACATGTGTTCATATATATATATATACATATATATGTATGCATACACATAGTATGCATGCATGCATGCATGGATGGATGTATGGATGTATGCATGTATGTATGGATGTATGTATGCATGGATGTATGCATGCATGAATGTGTATATACATGCATGTATGTATGTATGTATGTATGTATGTATGTATGTATGTATATATATATATACATATGTGTATATATATGTGTGTATTTGTGTATATATAAAAATATAAATATATATATATACATACATATATATATAGACATACACACACACACATATATATATATATATCGCTCGAATCAACTATCCCAAATTATTTTCGGATTTAAAATAGTCTAAATACTTTACATCATTTAAATCACCTCGATTTAAGTTAGGTAAGTTGTTTGAATAGTATTTTAGCTACATAGCAAGCGTGCTCCATCAGCTTGTTACTCTTGCGGTTTAGGGCCTTAAGGTTTAGGGTTTAAAGTTTAGGGCCTTCAGGGTTTGGGGTTTAAGGCTTTAGGGTCACAGGTCTAGGGTTAGGGGCTCTGCCTGAGCCTCGCGCTTTCGCTACCCTACAGCCTAAACCGATACTTTGCCAGGCCTCCAAACTCCAGACCTGGACATGACAAGGACGTTTAAGCTTTGAGCCCCAAAAGCCCCCGGTAGATATAGTCCATATATGACTGACCTATACTATTTCCAGCAACTCTGTTGTAAGTACTAGGGACCCTATATTGACTGACAAGACGTTCTGATGAGAGACTGAAGCTTCTGTGACTTTCCACTGTCACTGCTGCTGGCCATCACCAGTCCCAACAAGACGACATGGACCTTGGCTGCAGGCCTTACCCAAGCCCCTCAATTCAAGGTCTTTCCGGTTGACTTATATCAAACTTATAAGATCCTACAACCACATCAAAAATATCAACCGAAGAAGATCGAGGACAGCGGCGGGGACGCAACGGACATGCCCTATACCCCACATGCAGATTGGGCGGATCGCCAATGCAAGCCGCCCTTTGACAAATACAAGATGAATGAATCTAGGCTGGCGCGCTAACGCCTCTGAAAAATGCTGTCAAGACAAATCCTCTTAATGCAAATTATGCCAAAGACGTATGCCCAAAACTAACATCTCGGCCAGGCCCCATGGGTTCCGCATTTGTTCTGTTTAGGGCTTAGGGTTTAGCCTCATGATATGAGCATAGTGGCGAACACGTCAAAATACAGTGCTGGGTATTCAGGCCCGAATTTTACAAGTCTCCTACACAGCATTCTGCAGTGTGTTTAACGAAAGCCTCACATGTATACGTGTCTCTCTCTCTCTCTATATATATTGTTTGGGTACCTCAATTTCCTAGTATAGGGAACTAACCATAACATGGGCGATTCAACAAAAGATACTACGATGGAGGGTCTTGGTAAGGTATGGGGTAAGGTATTGGGTAATGGGTGGCATGGCCAAGACCTGCTACAGTCATGAATCCGCTGAAACTCGTATAGAGACCTTACCATTTAAATAGGCATTGGGGCACAAATTTACTGGGGCCCATATTGTCGGTTTGCTGAGGCTTTGAACATGCACACCCTAACTGTCCTGAGTTTCAGCGCCAAACCCTTTCACATGTTGAAAAGCGAATGAAAACTGCGACAAGGAGCCACCAAAGCACAGCCCAGCACGATGTAGAACTCGGTTGGCCTCTTGGAAGAGACATTACAATCTTTCCCTAAGGCTTGCAAGGTTGTGTAGCTTGGTGTCAGAGCACCAAGCTCTAGCCGTGAGATTCTGCCACTTGGCTCCCGTGCTTCTTCTCGGACACAGGACAATCTTAAAACCCTGAGCCGCGTAGCCTGAACATGCCTGAACCCTAAACCAACTACAGTAGGGATTCCAAGCTAAGGGTCCTCATGATATCTTCGCAAAGTCAACATAGCGAATGTCTCAACTGTAACCTTAGAAGGAGTTCGAAGGAATGGCATCAGCTTTCTATCCGATCCCCCATGGCAACATCTCGAACAAGCCCATTTAGACGTCGAGGTTTCCTACTGATTCGCTACGATAACACTAACCCCGGGTCCCAACCTAAAGATCCTCCTTACCAGAAGCCCCGAAGCCTGAAAGACCCCCAAAACCAACCCCAAAGCCTAGGCCTCCTATTCAGCCCCGAACCCCATAAAACCCCTAGGCCCTAAAACCTTTGCACGGTCGCCTCCTCGTTTCGTTGGAAGGGGTGCAACCGTGGCTTTGCGTCAAATTCCCGGATTTGCAAATTCCTGGGCTGAAGGATGTAGGGAAAAGGTCGTGGCTTCTCAGAGCCAGGTGCCAGCCAGCTTCGTGCCCTACGTCTTCCCGGCCCTGCCCGCTGCACTGCCTTTGACACCCGCTGAAACACGTTGCAGACAACATCCTCTTCAAAGCCCAACCAGGAACCTCAAACACATCCCCGTGCCCTGCCTAGTCGTGGGAAACGCCATGACGAGAAACGTTGTTATCAGATGCTTTCTGTGAGGTTTCACCAGGGTGTTTACCGATTTAGCATTAAGTGTCCAGAACAGATTGACGATTTCCTTGCTAAATATTGTACAGTGACTAAGCTGTTTACACGCTAAAAACCCCTATGAACACCCTCAACACCGTCGAAAAAACCTACCCTAAACCTACATGCCATAAACTCTGCACCCCAACTGGAACTCTAAAACCTTAAACCCTAAACACAAGAGCCCTTAACCTTAAAACCTAAGCACAAGGACCGGGAAACCTTAGACCCTAAACAAAAGAACCGCAAAACCTTAAACCTTAAACACAAGAACCGGAAAATCTTCAAAAACCGGAAAGCCTGAAACCCTAAACACACAAACCCTAAGAAGAACCCAGCTTCCCCAGGTCGCAGAGTCAAGGTCTGCAACGACGCACTCGAGCTCCGTGTTGTAACCTCAGGTTCCATTCCCTGGGGATCCTATCTACCTACCCTAAACCCTAACCGGCCCTAACCCCCACCTACCTATCTATCTATCTGTCTATCTATCTATCTATCTATCTGTATACACATATATACTCATGTATATATATATGTATATGTAAATGTATATGTATATGTATATGTGGAGCTACAGGAGCTGCTTCCCAAGGAAGTGAATAGGTACATGGAGTGTAATTAGGGCCCCGTGCCCTCCGGTCAAGGTGTTAGGGTTTTAATGTTTAGGGTTCATAAGCCTTTAGTGACTTTAGTGATTTAAGGTTTTAGGGTTTAGGGGTCCGGGGTTTTAGGGGTTTAGGTTCGGGTAAATCTGTATGGAAGCGTGTTTCACATTCACGGCGCCCAACGGGCTACTACTAATTACGCCCGAGACTCCAATGAGAGTCAGGTGGTCCGTGTTTGCCGGCAATTGCCCACATGGCTCGTCCAAGTCAAAGTCGCTGTTTCCGCATAGCTCGGCAGCCGCTTGAGGAAGTCGAAATGCAGTCAGCGCAGCCAGGCGGAGTAGGAGCGACATGGATATGGCCATAGCAGGAGCGAAAAGATAAGGTATAGTCTGTATAGTATACTGGTCTGAACAAAAACGGTCACACCGGCCAGCATTGAAGCTTACATGCATGAGGGCGTGCAACATTCATGTACTGATCAGTGTATGCACGTGTTCGACCGGGGCGCGCCCCGTCAACTACCTTCGCCCAAATGCTCGACGGACTCATATGTTAAGAGCTTCAAAGAGTAGCGCGACCCCAATGTAGACCCACCAAGATTAAGTTTGATCTCCTAAATTTCTAGGCTTCTAGGCCCCTAGCCAGATTCATGAAACTTGATACAGTCTTAGCAGCTGCAGCATGATCCCTGAAGCCCTTAGCTGATCAATGCCAATGTTGAACTATCATGACAATGCACAATAGACAACTGTGCCGTATGCCCTATAACATAGTAGAGTAGAGTTTAGTATAGCATAGCTCAGTGTAACATATTTTAACACCGTATAATACAGCTTAGAATACCACATAATATCGTATACTAGCGTGGAATTGCATGTAGCATCGTAGACCATCTCGTGATGTCGTACAATACCGTATAAACACAATATTGTGTCAGAAAGAAAAATAGCACAGCGCAGTATGTTACAGTAGAATACAGTTAGTTTTCAGGTTGGTCCGGAGTTAGGCTTTACGGCTTAGGGGGGCACTAATGATGATCTGTGCACGAGATTGTGGAGGATGAAGCTGCTGCTGCTGACGCCGATGATGCTGCTGAGGATGCCGATTCTGATCGTGCTTATATTCCAAGACATGATGAACAAAACCAAGAAGAATAACACAAGGATGATTACCTGTGATAAGTCATAATACTCGCTGTTGGACCACATGCACAACCTTTGTTCCTCTAACAACAGCTCTCGAAACTCTAGAGCATAATTCCGAAATAATTTCGCCCTCCTGAAGCTCTTCAAAACCCGAACCCTCAACCATGGGACCCTGAGTTGGTTCCTTTTGAGACCCTAAACCCTAAACCCTTATAAACCCTGAGCCCTCAACCCTTATAAAAACCCTGAGCCCTAAACCCTAAACCCTTCTAAACCCTGCACCCTAAACTTCCTAGAACCCTCATAAACCCTGAGCCTTGAACCCTTATACACCCCTGCACCCTAAACCCTAAACCCTTATAAACCCTAAACCCTAAAACCGAATAAACCCTGAACCCTAAACTTCCTAAAACCCCCATAAACCCTGCACCCTAAACTTCCTAAAACCCCCCCTAAACCCTGCACCCTAGGCCCTAAACCTTCTATGCCCCGTTCCCTACATTTCCTAAACCCCCCCTTTTGGCCCCTTGAGCTTCTACTCAGAACCTCCAAGCCGGCCGCGCTAAAGGGCGGAGACACCAGCGCCCTGAAACCAGGTTTAGGGCTTAGGGTTTGGGGTTTTAGAGTTTAGGGTTTAGGGTTTAGGGTTCAGGGTTTAGGGTTTAGCGTTGTGTGTGTGTGTGTTGTGTCTCTCTCTGTGTGTGTGTGTTTCTCTCTTTCTTTTGACTGAGGACTGAGGAGCGGAGTTAGGGTTCAGGGTTGAGGCGCTACAAACCCTAAACCCAAGGCGGTGGAGGGCTTGACGTTGAGCTGCTTTCTGTGGTTGTTGTCGGGAGGAATGCGCAGGGCCGAGGTTTGTGGGTTTAGGGCTCGTCAGGTTCAGAGGAAATCTGCAGGACTGGGTGACTCCGGGTCCACTTCCAGAGCTTGGCGGCTCCGGTGTAAGGGTGCTTTAGGGGTTCGGGGGCTAAAGGACTCTAAATCCTAAAACTGTTCAATGTGGAAACCCTCCTGGACTTGAAGAAGCAGGTCTGCGAGCATTTCTTTTGATGGCAGGGTGGCCGGGTGGGTGGGAGAGTGGGAGGGTGGGCGGGGCTGCCGTTAGTGTATACATTCGCACGTTCGTGCCCTTGCTGTTGGTAGTGGTAATGTCAACTCTTGATTAATGAGCCCGCGTGATTAAAGGCATCCCGCGCGGGCCTCGGACCTGGCTGAGACCATGTTTTAAAGGCGCTGGCCTCTTCCACCAGA